CTAGCAGGGCTGGGAAAGGGTCTCATGCAGGCCCTATGGTTCTGATGAAAGGCTGTCATAGTACAGGAGAAGACGAAGGCCAAAAAGGGATCAGTTCCAGGAGAACTGGAACTTCCTGAGGTAAGAGGTGACAGACAATGGAGCAAGGTCTAGAAGACAATAGGTAAGGCAGAGGGGAGCAGATCACTCACAGCCAGACACACACCAACAGGCCACATTCACCTGACTGAAGAGAAGAAAACAGGGCTAGTGGGCACAGCAGAGGAGGCAGAGTCAGCTCACACTTGCACCCTCCACTCTGTGTGGCACTGGATATGAGCAGAGGTGGTGCAGAACAGTGAGTCAGGCCTTACCTGGAGCATGCACCAAGTCTGCCTCAACACTGTGGAAAGAGCAGGCAGAACTGAATCAGGATACAGAAGAAGTTCTGTGGGGAGCTGAGGATGACCAGCATGGGTGAAGTGATAGGATTGTGTACAATAGGGAACCTTTGCCAGCATCACACAGCACCTGGGCTGCGGGAAGGGAAAAGGTAGGTGGCAAAGTTTGTTCCAGGCTGGACACATACGGAAATGGGATTCCTACTGGGATCCAGCTGAGTAAAAGGCAGGAAGTCCAGGGGTGGACAGTATAACTAGGAGGCAAGGCTGAACAGCAGCAGGACTTGGCAGGCAGCTGGCTGACCATACTATGGTGATATCCACTCCAAGGTGATACAGGGCCCCTGTGACAAAAGCAGCATGGGCCATAAAGCAGCCACTTGTTGGAGCAAAGAGTACAGGAAATCCTGGAGCTGAGGAAGGCAAGTGAGGGAACTTGCAATTAGATTGCTGGAAGAATCATCTGAAAGATGCTACAAGAGCTGAAGATGGAAATGACAACAGGGAGGCCAAAGTCAGTAATTAGTGATGTAAGGGAAATGCCTCAATGGTCAGAAAAGGACAAGATGAGAATGTGTGGATGAATAACTGGCTGCTTGAATTCTGAAAAAACCTTTGCATGAGAATAGATGAGAAATGTTGGCTAAGAAAAAGCTGCTCTCTACCTCTGAGTTTGAGGTACCAACTGCTAAGAATGAGTACGCTTTGATTGTAGAATAGTAATGAAAGCAGAAGTTCCAGGAGAGTTATAGTCAAGAAAAGAGAGGCTGTTCCCGAGGGCTCACGGCTGGGAGTCAGCAAGGAAGGCGCCAGCCAAGGGAAAGAAAGCACACCCCTTGTAGAGGAGGGAGTCTGCCAGGCAGCCTTATGGGGAGGCAGCCAGCCTCTCACAAGGAGAAGATGCCTCAGGCACAAGCTGAGATTCCAAGTGGAGTTGGAGGCCAGCAGTCTGTATGGAAACTGGGAAGGCTGCTGAAATGGCTCTGCAGTAATTCCCTATCTAGGGCAACTAACATCAACTCACTAGAACCAAAAGGTACAAACTCCAAAGATGAACAGAAAGGCTGGAAGGGTCCCAGCCCATACACAAAGCCTTGCCTTGAAGTTAGAGGAGGGGATTAGCTGACCTATGCACACTGACCTTGTACAGACCACAGAAGCAAAAGTGATGATGGATTAACTGCTGAGCAAAGAACTCCAGCGCATTACTGAGAAAACCATGCACAAGAGGAAATAGACAAAGAACAAGTACAGGTAATTCACAGGGAAAGCCTAGTGATACAAACATGTGAAGGGTCTCATCCTCAGTGGAAGGAAGTAGAGAGATGGACAACTGGCAGATAGATGGACAGACACACAAATCACACAGTAAGCTTTCTAGGACTATGATAATGAAGGGCTGACAAGGACACAAAAAAATTTAGCACACTAGCACAATGCAAGTGGATGTGCAGACAGGGCAATCTTATTAATGCCACGTCCTACTTCTCAAATGATCTATTCCCAGAGTAGATCTCAACTGATCTACTCCTGGAGTAGTACTAACATAGGTTAGTAAGGAGGGATTTCCCAAAATGATCACTATAGCATTATACTTGTAGAGAATCTACAAATATCCATCTGAAAAAAATCTAAATGCCCATCATTCAGGGAAAGGATAATCCAAATGTTACATTTACTTTGATATAAGATAATTAGATCCAGAAAATTTGTAAAACTTTACCCCAACACACATGTCATATTGCAGCATGTCTATTACTCCTGTACATAGATGAGTTAGCATAAAACACTAAAATAAACCAGAGCCTGGTCCATACTGGATGGCATAAACACACTCCATTTGCTTTTATGGCATGCAGCTACAGATTTTGAAGAGAATACTGTACAGGAAGCAGGTAACTGAGGTCTCTGAAAAGTAAAAATAGCCAGTAGACTGGGAAGGAGAGCATCTTTGAAGAACACCAACCAGTGGCTGCCCCTGGCCTAGCCTCAGGAGCCCCACCCAGCAGCTGCACTGCCCATCACAGAGAGCACTGAAGGACCAGGTTCAGGCCTGAAGACAGAGAGAGGGGTCTGTTGGCAGCAGAGTGGTGGCAGTGGAGCCAAGGCAACTCAGACTGTGGGAGGGGACCTGAGGACCTCTGAAGTCCTCTGCTGGAAGGGCTATGGGCAGTCACAGTTGCAGGGGCAGCATGGGGGACTCCAAGCCCTGGCATTCCATGTAGTTGCCTGAAAGGGGAGCCCTGAGAAGCTACAGAGCATCAAGGTGCTGTGGAGTTAGGGGCTCTGGGAAGTGGCCCCACAGAGTTATAAACTCCCTGCATATCCTATTGTGTATATGGATCTCATCATAAGCACTCAGAACTAGAGGAGAGGTGCATCCACTTCCTATGCAGGCCCTTGGTCATACATGAGAGAGACATGGACAGATTCAAAGAGCTAGAAATGTTTTGGGTTTTGTTTTGGCGATGTGACTTGGACAAATGATGTGATTTACACCGAAAAGGCTTTCACTAGAACTCATGACCTAAACCTAAGACAGATTACATTTTTCCAACAGATTTAAACAAGACTGAGTTTTATAGTATCTTAAATGCCCAGTAACTTGGGGATCACCACCCAATTACTTAGTATGCAAATAAACAGGAAAATTTCAACTCACAAGGGAAAAGACAAGAAATATGAAGGCCTGCACAATATGAATGTTGGAAGTATCCAATTTTTAAAGATGCTAGTACTGAGAAACAAAATAGTGCTCCAACAAGTAAAGGCCTATACTGGGAATGGATGGTGTGGCAGGCAGAACCCTGAAACAGCCCCCAAGACTCCCTATGCTAGAGCTGGGATACCACTCAGTATGTGGTAGATAGTTAACTGGTGGTCAACTTCTTACACCCAATTGAACTGAAATAGCATGGTGCTCGGTGCAGGAGGCCCCCACCTGAGGGTGGTTGTCAGCAGCATAAAAGGCAGAACAGGAAAAGCCGCAAAAACACTCTTAGGGATGCTGTTTGGAGAAGCTGTTGGAAGCTGTTAGATCTCTTGAGCTGTTCTGCTAGAGGACCTTGTCATGCTGACTTTCCCAATGAACTGTGGAGAAGCTTGGGTTTTCATCTTGAGCATCCATTCCTGGCCCCGGAGGAGAAGATGGTGCACTGCTCAGCCTCATGAAGATTGTTGTATTGGCTTTCTTGATGGGAACTTGGCTTTCCTCATTGCAGGAGGAGCTCGGGACCTCACTGTTGCTGACGGCTATGGCTCTTTTGGGTGGGAGCTCTGGTGCTTACCTTGAGCATTGCTTCCCAACTCCAGTTCAGATCCCTTAGCATGCTAGTTCAGATCCCTCAGCGTGCTAGCACAGATCCTTCATCCCACTGGCACAGACTTACTAGCTTCTGTCACTGTCCTTTGGGCATTTCCAGCACATATCCATGAAGCAGGCCTACACTGAGACTTTGTTGTGGACTCTAGGCCTCCAGTTGGACAGGAGGGAGGCATTGTTATAAGCTCTAGGCCCTTAGCTGGATTCTTTAGTATTTAGTGTGTGGACAGACGTCCTGCACTTGTAGTATGTGATTCTTGGGTTATTCATTATAAAATACTATAAGACGTGTCCTGTACTATATTCTTCTCCTTGCAAAAACCCCAAACCACAACAGTGATAGAGCACTTGCCTAGCCTGTATGAGGCCCTGAGTTCAATGCCTAGAAAAGAAGAAAATAAAACCCCAAAAAACCCAGAACTATAAATGTATCATACTCTTATTATGTTAAATTACCTGGCTTGAGGGATTCTGCAGGTATAATTAAAATTACTAATCAGCAGACTGATTACAAGGGTTTACCCAGGCTTACCTAATCTAAACATACGGGCTCATAAAAAGCAGTATCACCTGAGAACAGAGGCACATAAGGAAGCTGGAGAGACTAGAAGTGTAAGGACTTGGTGAGCTACTGGCCTGAAGGTGCGGTCCCCATGAGAAGGAATTCAGTCAGCTTGCATGGGAGTTAGTATCTGAAAGCTCCAGAAGCAAAATCTTCCCAGGAGCCTCTAGAAAGAACCCAACAGGCATCACCTTGATTTTGGCCTTGGGAACCCCTCAAGCAAAGAACCCAATCAAGATCCAAAGTCTTATGATCTACACAACTGTGCTTTATCCACTGGTTTGTCCTAACTGGTTACATAATATAAATAAATACAGTAAATCCCTAACTTACGGATGACTTTTGTTCTAGGAGAACTGTTCATTAAGTTGGATTTGTTTGTAAGCCAACAAAGTAAGTGATATACAGGACACCTATGAAGGTTGGCAACTGGAATGTAAGTTGGGGACTTACTATACAGATTTGGTTACCTAGAAATGGGGTACTGCTATAGCGAATACCTATTAAAGTTCATTCTGGGAATATTAAAATAATCCTGAAGTGTTACATGATTGTATTTGGACTCGCCAATTGTTCCAGAATGAGAACATTTCTCTTAGTTTTCTAAAATGCTACTTATGAGGCAGCATATCCCTTAAACTCTAAAAGAACTATTGCCAAATCAACTGTGTTTACTTAGTGCTTCGTCCAAGTAATATATGTACACTGACAGACATGTTAGCTGGTATCCACCTACACTTTGAGTTTGGTGCACTGTCCTGGCTTCAAGTCTCCCAGCAGCTGCAATATGGTATCCAAAAGCACCTGACTGGAACTGACCAAGAACTCACGACCACAGGCTATGGCAGCAACATCTGCAACAAAGAGATGAAACAGAGTCAGGATCACAGGTGCTCTGGAATCAGGAAAATTCTGTCCAAGACAGAGCACCTGTTGTTCTTCTAATAGACCTAGGGAAAACAGGATGAGGCATTGCAATGGTGCTGTTCCTGAGCTGCTACACCAGCACAAAGACTCAACAACTCCAAGAATTACTAATGGAGGCACACGGTCTGTTAGAGGAGTGAAGGCCTCTGCCACAAACAGAGCAGAGGCCCTCCATGCTACAGCACCATGCAGAGCACCAGACCAGAAGCTGATGGGTCACAGGGAACGTTAAGGGATGTATGGCCTACCTGCTACTGAGCACACCGAAACACACTTTTTCAATCCTGCTGGTATTTGTTGGTGACTTGTAACTATAACATGAAACTGAAATCATAGGTCCTTAGAGCCAAGAGTATGAAAATTCATTCTGAAACTTTTTTCCCTAAATGTCCTGTCCTGCTGTGATTAGCAAGTACAGGTCTTCCAACCAGCCTGGAAACCATGAGTCCCTCTGCTCAGCCACAGCTCAGCCAGGCCCTGTCAAAATCCCCTAAAACCTGTCTGTATACCTCAGTGACCCAAGGACAGAGATGTGCCTGTTTTATGAGTTCCCTTCAGTCAATATTACCAACAAAGTGATCCAAAATGACTATAAATCTTGTATCAGATAAGCACGCCAAGGGAGAAGTGCAGCAGAGCAGTACCATCTTTGTCTTTTCCCTGACTTCAAAGCAAATGCTTCTAGGAATCCACAGCTCACTATGATTTATGATCACATGATGTCTTTGTGGTAGACATCATTTATCAAGTTAAGACAGTTTTCTTCTATTTGTAGTCTTCCAAGAAATATAAAAAACGCAGGTGGAGTCAAGCATAGAGGTACATGCCCTATAATCCAAGCATTCAGGTGGCTGAGGCAAAGGATTGCAAATTTGAAGCCTGCCTGGGCAACATAGCTAATTCAAGGTCAACCTTGACCATAAAGTGAGACTGTGTCTCAAAAAATAGAAAGCAAAAACAGAAAGTGAATGTTACAGTTACTTGTTCGGTCTCTGATTAACTGTGACGACTGCAGAGTACAAATTTGCACTAGTGCTACCAGATTGATTTAATAAAATGATTCTTCACATTCCTATGTATTTTGTTTACTTGGGCTGAAAAGGACGAGGTGGGGTTCATTAAAATCTCCTAAACTGATTGTAGTTTCCCCTACATAGACTTTTTTTCTAGCATTCTGTATCATAACTGATGCTGTGTCACTTGATAACATAATTTCATGATATCTGAAGCCCCACACAATGCAGAGCAACAGCAAACATCCTGCCAAGCCTTCATAAAACTGCAGACTTATGAGCAAAATAAACATTGTTGTTATATTTTTATTTTGGGGTAATTTGTGTTATGGTTTGGTCTAGATGTTCCCCGCAAAGCCTCATGCAGTCCTAGGGTATTTTTTGGAGGTGACTGAACACAGTGAACAAATCATTTGTACTGCAATGCTGGGATTAAGAATGTGAGTGCTACCCTGGCTGTAGGGCAGGGATGCTGCATATAATACAAGGGACAGAAAGAGTATTATCTTTCTCAAGATATTTTTGCTGTCTTCTGCTGCCATGAACTGTTGCCCCACTGCCACGTGCTATCCTATCTTGGAGCCGGCTGATTATGGACTGAAACACCTACAAACTCTGAGGTAAATAAACCTCTCTAAATAAACTTCTTTCTCTTTAACCTTGGGTGTCAGGTATCTTTTCTTAGCAATGAGAAAAGTAACTAAGACAGTTACCCAGAAATAGATAACATGAACAGTACGAACAGTACTACTACATCATTGAAGGAAAAATAGAAAAAAATATATATATCTTGTATTTTTATATTACATATTACATATCATAGCAGGAACAACTCCCAACATAATATTTATTGGCAAATGTAGTCCTGTTATATATCCCAGTACTGTAACAGCAAATACCAGTCCTGCATTTTTCTGAATAGCAATAACTAAATGCGAGCAAACTCCTACAGACAGTGCCAGTATTTGTCAATCTCTCAGGATTTATGCATGTTTATTTTAATCATAGCTAGCATTTTAATTATTGGTATTTAATTTGTCTCAGGTGCTTGTGAGTCATTTAAGAGCATACAGAATGGATTTTGTTGCCATTCACCACAAGCAGACCAAAGATTGGTTTAATTTTCTGTTCAAATTGCTTTTTCTAGGTTTATTCTCATTAAAATTGTTACAGTTACTTCTAGAGGGTAGTCCCAGAATCATATAGTTTAAGAAATGAATTTGTTATCAGCTATATATGCTGAGAATGACAAATAAATTGATATGTATTGTATCTGACACTTACTTTAGCTCAATATTTTTTCAGTGGTAAAAATAATAACAGAGTACTGGCATAGTAATAAACATATAGACCAACAGCAGGATTGAAGGTTTAGAAACAAACTCACACTTATGGTCACTTAATCTTCAACAAGGGTGTCAAGACAAGTCAATGGAGAAAAGATAGAATGATCTTTTCAACAAATAGTGGTAAGAAAACTGGCATATATATATGGCTGTACCAATGTACATTCCCATAAGTATCTGAGCTTTGGGTTTCTTATGTCCACACTAGCACTGTCCTTTTGCTTATAGCCATCCTGAT